CTTTATTTATTTTTGGCTGTGCTGAGTCTTGCTGTGTACGGGCTTTTCTCTAGTTGCGGTGAGCAGGGGCTACTCTCTGTCGCAGCGCGTGGGCTTCTCCTTGCGGTGGCCTCTCTTGGTGCAGAGCACAAGGTCTAGGTGCATGGACTCGGTCGTTGTGGCTTCCGGGCTCTCGAGCACAGGCTCAGTTGACCCATGGTGTGTGGGATCTTCCTGGATCAGGGATCTAACCTGTGTCTCCTGTGTTGGTGGGCAGATTCTTTACCACTGGATCAGCAAGGAAGCCCCTCAACAGATCTATTTTTTTTCTTCCTTTTTCTAATAAAGAAACAGAGACTCCGAGATGTTAGTAATTTACCCAAGGTCACACAGCTAGTAATGGCAGAGTGGATTTGAAGCCACATGATCTAACTCATTCCAGAGCCTGTGCTCTTAACCATTACCTTTACTGCCTCTCCCAGAGAAGCCCAAGACTCCTCCTTAGCAGATATATAGGGAGTCTGTACTCAAAGACTAAATACTATCTGTTCATTGAGGAATAGTTGTCTCTTAGTCTATTACTTGGGGTTTGAATTATGGATTAACTATAAGTAGCTAAACAACCTACTTTTAGCTTCTTCCCTTTCCATTACATGTTCCATTTTGACATGTTCCTAAAATACAGATTGGTCATCTCTCTCTCCCCCAGGTTCAAAAGGGTTCAGTGACTTCCCTCTGCTTACAAGGACATGACAAACCACTCAGCCTGGCATGTGAGGCCCTGAGAACTGGCCCAGGCTCTGTGTCGTCATCTCCCATCCTTCTAATAGGACTCCTAGGCAGACTGCAAGGCAAGGACTTGCTTAATTCCTTGCCTGAAATATGATTCTCCCCTCTTTGAAATCCTGTTCAGTAAGCCAGGTCAACCTGAGGGACAAATCACATAGAGCAGGGGTACCCAAATCCCAGGGCCATGGGATTGACCCATGGCCTACTAGGAGCTGGGCCACACAACAGGAGGTGAGTGGCAAGCGCGTGATCAGACTTTATCTATATTTACAGCCACTCCCCATCGCTTACTTTACCACCTGAGCTCTGCCTCCTGTCAGATCAATGGCAGCATTAGATTCTCATAGAGTCCCTCGGACAGCTAGGAGATCCAACCAGTCCATCCTAAAGGAAATCAGTCCAGAATATTCATTGGAAGGACTGATGTTGAAGTTGAAACTCCAATACTTTGGTTGCCTGATGCAAAGAACTGACTCATTTGAAAAAGACCCTGATGCTGGTAAAGATTGAAGGCAGGAGGAGAAGGGGATGACAGAGGATGAGATGGTTGGATGGCATCACCGACTCAATGGACATGAGTTTAAGTAAGCTCCGGGAGTTGGTGATGAACAGGGAGGCCTGGCGTGCCGCAGTCCATGGGGTTGCAAAGAATTGGACACGACTGAGTGACTGAACTAAATGGAATTGAAGGAGCTCGAACCCTACTGTGAACCACACATACAAGGGATCTAGGATGCTCGCTCCTTGTGAGAATCATCCTGAAACATCCCCCCACATCCCTAGGCCATGGAAAAATTGTCTTCCACGAAACTGGCCCCTGGTGCCAAAAAGGTTCAAGACCACTGACATTTAGAGTAACAATGAATATTACAGTTTTTAAAAAATAATTCTACGTATTATTAAGTCTTCTAGTACTCAACTAAGTTTGAGAGAAAAGAAAAATTGAAAAGCCTTTTGTAAACATATGATTAGTAAGGTTTTCTACAGTAGACTCAAATTCAATTTCAAACTAGGAGAGAATATTTAGTATTACCGATAATGTTTTTTTCCCCCTGCCTCAACAACTTTAAATCTACCAGAGGGCCTTTGTAGCGATTTTCTCAAAGTGTTACAAATTCTACTTTGTATATCATCTCTTCATGTTTAATTATAAGGATTTGAATTTACAGCACCAATTAATCAGTAATTAGATAGTACTGTACCAAAAGAAATTAAACAAAGATAAAAACAAAAACACGACTCAGCACAAGGCCATATCATCTGGTAATGTTTCATGTAGCATGATAACAATGCTTCCCAAGAAATATAGGTTAACTGAATCATTAGCTATGTATTCTTTTGATTTTTTTATTGTTGTTTTTTAGTGACTTCCAGTACTGGTGGGAAACTTAAAGGTAATCCAAATACAAAAACACCCTGATTATACTAATGTTTATTCCTCTTTTTGCTCATCAGAAATCTGCTTTATGACACTCAATAATTATTTTGAGATGCCAGCTTTTGGAATTGCAAAATAAATGCATATTTTATAATGATACATGCTGTATTGATCATCATACTTAACACACAAATCAGCTTTTGTATTAATTATCAATGAGACCTATAAAACATAAACGTGTATGTTAGATGTGAAAAATCAAAAAGGCCACAGAGCAGATTGAGGAAGGAAAAACGAAGGTCCCTGAAACCGAGAGATAGAAGAGGGAAAAACCATGACTGTATAGCAGGTCCCTTTTGGGACGGAAGCAAGTGGCAAAGGGACCCTCTCCCTACAGAGTCATGCCATTTCCCTGCGCCAGGCTCATGGAACTCGTTTCCAGGTTCTTAAACCTTTTGTTAACAAAAAAAGAGAAGGCTGATAATTGGAAAGAGAAATGAGCAGCTCCCATTATTCAGTCCTGGAAGAGATGGCAGCATGGCCTGCTCAGGTGCACCCCCTGCTGGCCTGGAGTGGTCCTGACAGCTGAGCTCAGGCCAGCCGCCTGTGGAAGGCGCCTCACCATCTATTTATACCTAACCGTTTCTACAGCAAGCTTTTCTCCTTCACGCCCCCCAAGTAACCCCTTGCCTCTGTGGCCATGACTACATGGGAAGACTGAGGCATAAAACACTCAGAATTACTTTAAGATGCTTTACATTCTTTCCCTGGTGCTGTTTCAGGAGGTCTCATTCCTGGGGAAAAAAAAAAAATTAGGATCACCTTTACTCCCAAGTGTGAGGATCTTATCAATTGTAGATGCTGTAAAATCTCTTAATGGTATGCCAAATGAGTGAGTGGTTTCTTCCCTAAGTGTATGAAACTGTCTTGAAAGTTTCTGTGCAGTGAATTTCATTGTGTGTGTTCTCAATCTTGCTTTCTAGAAGTACTTTTCTCTGAACCAAGTAATTTGTCTTTTGATAGATCAATTTGCCAAGAGAGAGCATAAGGCACTTTGAAAAGAACTTTAGAAGAAAATTTCAAACATTCCCATCTTTTGGTACCTTAGATTGAAAGAGTAAGCTTTGCTTAGTAATTCAGCACTATGGTGAACATCAGAGAGCCAAATTGTAATAATTTTTGTAATTTCATGATGAAATTGATTGAGCAGTTCCCCAGCCTACCTTAACTGGGAACCATTTGATTTTTCTCCAAGTCAGGAATCTTTTTTCCCTTTGTTGTTTTGAAGCGATGCTATAAAGTTTGTCTCTCAAGAGTTCATTGCTTTTACAAACTATACAGCACACCTGTGGATGAAAACCACCTTTGTCAAAATGTCAGTTCCTTTATCGATATGACTTAGTAATCCTCCACTGTGCTCCTTCAGTTGTTCCCTCATTTGAAATAAAATATTCATCTCTGAGGAGGCAGTACAATTTATCTAATGTCAGGATACTATTAATGCATACATTTTCCCCTCTCAGTGCTGACTTCATTATTGAAATGAATTTAAACAAGCCGGTTTCAATTCACAATGATCATTATCTGATGAGCCTCTATTCAGGGCTAGCTGGCCAAAATTAATGAACCAGAGTGACCTCTTCATCTCAGTGGCTCTTCATGTTAACGCAGCAACTACTCTCTGCCCTAGCCTTCCTCTCGTAGAATGTGGAAAAGTCAGCACTGGAGTTTAACACCCCTCACTGCATATTCTCCCACCCTCTCCAGTGCAGTAGATAGGTCCAGTTAATGCTCCAGCCAGACACCTGGGCATATTCCCTCCTGCTCACCCCGCACACCCCGAGCAGCGGCCAGTCCTCCAAGGCCCCTGCTGCTGCCCCAACCCTAGTCCATGAGACTCTGTCCCCCTGCCTGAACTCCTAGCGATTATGTCCTAACTAGCCTCCCTGCTTCTATGCCACCTTTCCTAGAACTCATTCTCCATATAGCAGCTCAGGTCATGATTTTTAAAATATCAATCATTTTACATCATTAGACCTGCTTCAAGCCTTCTGGTCACATCCTGTTCCACCTGGAATAAAATGGAAGTACCTCCCACAGCTAAAAGACCTCGCGTGACCAGCTCAGCACCACTCTCCCCTTCTCACACCAGCAGGTCACTCTCCAAATGTCCAGCGCCGATTCCTGATGCCTCGCCTTCGCACAGCTGTCTTGCTGCTGGGGCTCAATTTATCCTCCTCCTCCTTCACAATTCAGCTGAAAGGTCACCTCCTCAGAGAACCTTCCCTGACCCCGTTAAGTGCAGCTGTCCACGGTCCTTGTCATGTCAGATTGTCTGTACCCGACATAGCACGTGTCACTACCAGAAATTAGTCTCTCCCTTTTTGGTTGTTTGCTGACCCTGTGTTTCTCCTCACCAGCCTTGTGTGTTGTTTACCACGTATCACCCATGCCTAGATGAGTCCAGCCCCGTACTGCACTCTGAATAAACGCCTGTTAGGTGAATGACCGATGGATGAGCCTGACACCTCCTAATATTACATAAAATTTTTAATCAGATTTTTTTATCAAATTAAACTTTTGAGACACTGTGCAGCTTGTGGGATCTTAGTTCCCTGGACAAGGATTGAACCTGTAACCTTTGCAGTGGAAGCTCGGAGTCTTAACCGTGGACCATCAATACTATGATTTTGACTGAATCACTTAACTGCTGGAGTTTGACTTCCTCATCTGTACAATAGAACTAACAAAGCATTGCGTTTTCCTGGGGACAATCGAAAGGGGCAAACGTGTGTGGGAACATGGCACAGAGAGGCAGAATGAACAGTTAACCACGTCCCTTCCTGTCTTCCAGGAAGTCTTCGGAGGAGCTGGACATGGATAAGGTGACGGCAGCCATGGTCCTCACCAGCTTGTCCACCAGCCCGTTGGTTCGGAGCCCTCCCGTGCGGCAGAACGGTGAGCCTGGTGCGCAGGGCGCAGGGAAGGGTCCTCTCACATCAGGAGCAGAGCTGCTCTTTGAGGAAGCTCTTTTCTTTTTCTCTTTCTCTTCCCCTCTTTTCCCTTTTTTTGTTCCCCAGTTGTTTTTTAATGACACAGCACATGAACACACCCGTATTTTAAAAGTCAGCCACGTGTGGCACAAACCCTCCCAGTGCCAGCCCCTCCCCAGAGGCAGTCGCTCTCAGCAGTTTGGAACACATCCTTCCAAACTCTGGTCTTTGCACTTATGTGCAGACTCGTTCCCGACACACACAATGGACCCTCACCCACTAGTGGGAAGTGAGTGGAAATGTGAAAGAAATGGACCCTGGAGCTACCAGCCTCCTCCTCATCATCCCAAAGACCCCACTGCATCTCACTCCTACGTCCACCCATCGAGTGCACATTTACTGACCTCCACCACCTTTCCAACTTGTCTTTAAGAACTTGTGTTCTGCATTGCCCCAGGAGCCAGAGATGGAGATTGGTCTCATGAAGTTACTTCCCCAGCCTTTTTTTTTTTTTTTCTGTTTGGTTGGAGGGATAGTTGGACCAAAGAACTCTGAAGATTAAGTATCTTGAAAAAGCATTATCCCAGGCTCCTTAATCCATTCTTTTATTCAGTATATATTTATTAGGTACCATAACAGATGCAGCCTGGCATGCTGCAGTTCATGGGATCACAAAAAGTTGGACATGACTTAGCGACTGAACAACAACCATAATAGATGGTTTGAATATATCGTTGAAAGAGTGTCCATACTCCTAGGTAATGTACAACCTTTTGGGGGAGAAGAAAACTATCACAGCTGTATTAATAGCTAGCATTTATTGAGAACTTAGTATGTGCCATATACTAGGTTTACTTTATCTCATGTAATTCTCACAATTCTATGAGATGTTATCTCTATTTTACAGATGAGTAAGCTGAGACACTTGAGGATTAGCTGACTTTAAACAGAGCTGAACCTCTTTCCATATCATTCTGATTCCAGATCTCTTGTCTCAGTCGTGATATAATATTGACTCATATAATTCAATATGATAAATTAGTGGGGGAGTAGGAGATGAAGCTGGAGAGCCTGACAGGAAATCAAGGAGTCATATCTGTGAGGTTATCAGTTTGGACATTCTTCTGAGGCTATAGGAGAGCTATTAGATGATTGAAACATTGGAAAGTTATAATTGGGTATAAAAGACAAAAACAAAAAAATAAATAGAACAAAACCATATGCGTGTCCTGCACCTTGGTGGTCACAGTGGGGATGCATATAGGGCATAATTGAGAAATATGAAGAAGGCAGAATCAGCAAGACTTGGTGATAGACAGAGAAGAGGAAGGAGAAGGAGTGACAAGGATGACTTCTGGGAAGTCCATTCCCTGTGGTGATGAGCAAAGGCAGAGGAAGAGATCTATTGGTGAATGTTAGGAGCAAGAGGTGGGGTTGCCGAAGAAGATGAGAGATCCAGCTTGAAACACATTTAGTAGGGAGTACCTGGGGATCATCCAAAGGACAGCATCTGATGGGGTTCTGGGTCAGCCTGGGAGAGAGATCTGGGCTGATGCAGAATTGAAAGGCGACATTTTGAAGCCATGAAGGTAGATGAGCTGACCCTAAGAGAGCTGTGGAAAAGTAAAGGATAATGAGAAGGTGGCTAAGTGAGAAGTGGTGAGCCTCCTCCTTATGTAAGGAAAAGAACCCAGGAAGGTAGGGGGTAACTGGAGAAGCAGAGGAGAGCAGGAGAGTGTGATTTCATGGAAGTCAAGGGAAAAGCTTGTTTCAGGGAGCAACAGCTGATGCTTCAGAAGGTCGAGGTGAAAAGGACTCAATTCTGCATCAAGAAGAATGTGATGGCTTTGAAAAGAGCATTTACAGTGGACGACCCATGGAGCGGAAGCCACATTGCAGATCAGTGAAATGCAGATCAGTTATTCTGAGGCCACCGGGTAGAACTTACCAGCCAGGAAAAACCTCCTCTCAAAAGCCAGCCTAGTCACTGGCAAGCTAGAGCTAGGGTTCCCCCGTAATCTGGTTATAAACAGGAGGTGTTAAAATAAATTTGTGGAACATCCATCAAGTCCTCACCCAAACTTACTGCAATCTATTTGGAAGTGGGAAGAATGATCAAGATGCTGGGAATTCAGATCAGTACCAGAAATCAGCGGTGCCTACTGTCTTGATTCCCCACAAGTTGGGGTGATGTCACTTCACTTAGAGTAGCTTCCATGCTCTTGGGATGAGCCTGATCTTTCCTGATAGCCTTCTCAGCCTGGCAAAGCTGCTAAAGAAAGATGATAGGAAAAGCAAGGCTGAAGTCATCCCCAAAACCTATTCTAGGAAAAAAGAATGACAGAATTTCATGGAATCCTCAGGGGAAAACAATAATTTTTATGTACTCATTCCTTTTACCATTGGAATTTTAAAATTAAGAACGTTTTTATATTCCTTTGTATTGAAATGTTAGGATCAAAATAAGCCTTTTGCATCTTCATTACAAACTTTTCTTAGCATAGTTATAAAGAGAGTGTTCATTATGACTTTAAAAAATAACTATCCAGATAGTAATCCCAAATATCTGATGTCTCTCATTTATTCTGCAAAAGGAAGCAAATTCTTAAAAAGGGAAAGCAATTTATGATAAGGAAAGCTATTTTTTAGAAATGAAGATTATCTCCAGAATTATTGCATATCAGTGAATTTTTGAAAACTGTTGTGGTCCTCTGCTGTGCTAGGAAAGGATCATTTTGTTAGGATGTGGGTCCAAAACGAAGGAGATTCCAGCAAAATGCCTGTCTGAATTTTTAGCAAAAGCTTGTTTAAGATAAGAAGACACTGCTCTCTAAAAAACACTAGAAATTGGCTTCTGAAAGATTTATTTCTATATTCCATTGTCCTTCTGATTAAATAGTGTTTCTAAAGGAAATGCCATTCACAGGGAAACAAATAAATTAACTCTTGGCACATGCAGGAAGCAGTGTGTAACCACACTGGAACAATAGTTGGCTTCAAAATTATTTCAGTTCCTCATCAGTTCAGTTCAGTTGATCAGTCGTGTCTGACTCTTTGTGACCCCATGGACTGGGAACCCCCCAAGCCTGGCAGCATGCCAGGCTTCCCTGTCCATCACCAACTTCCAGAGCTTGCTCAAACTCATGTCCATTGAGTTGGTGATGCCATGCAACCATCTCATCCTCTGTAGTCCCCTTCTCCTCCTGCCAGTTCCTCATACTTACCATGATTACAGATCTTGCACCATGAACTTGTTTTTGAAGCAAGTGTATGCTTCAATATATTTATAAGCCTCCTGGGCCTGCCAAGTGAGTTTGTCCACCAGGTAATATTACCTAAGGCCTTACACTAGACTGCTCTTGAATTTATGTATTGAAAAGAGCTTTCTTATTTAGTAGAGGCAACTCCAGTCCAGGGAGTATCTCAGTCTCTGTGTAGACCACAGGGAGTGAGATGCTGGTTTGGTTTTGTTAATGCTATCAAGGTGTGAACTTGCATAACAGACCTTGTAATTCGGTTACAGCTTGGCTTTAATGAGATGGTTAACTTACTTCTGCTATTCAACTTAAAACTTCATTCATCTAACTGAACTTTTTGCTTGACATAGTTGAGGAATATGCTGGAAACCTATAATTAGGTGAAGATAGTCAAGAAATTTTTCGATGAATGCTAGCATGTTGTTTGTCTTCAGTTCATTACTAATTACACAGATGTTAATGGCATTTCCTTAATGAGGCATTTGGGGATTTTTTTCCTACAAGAGTTAGGATATAGTTTTAATATATTCAAAATGCATATTAATATGGAGGAGAAGTTATCCAAAAGAAAGTCAAATTTATACAAATGCTAATTAAGATTGGGCATTTTGAAAAGTAAAGCAAATCTTCAGTGATTAAGAGAGCCCCTGAAGACATTCCAACTGGGCAAAAAGCTCTATTAGCAAGCATTTCATCATGTTTTCTCCCACAAGTGGAAAGGTAAAATTCAACACCAACCTTATCAGTAATTATTACCAATAAGTCCTTTTCTGATCTCAGCTTTGCCAGAAAGAAACAAGGATGTTCACACCCAGGGTCTGCATGTACTGAAGGAGAAGGAGGGCTAACTGGTAGACCAGCCTTTGAGACCCTGGCCCATCCTTGTCATGTACTAATCATGGCAAGTCAGTTAATTTCCTGATGCCTCAGGGACTTCATCTGTAAAATGGGCATAATAATCCTTACTCTGAAAGATAGATATTATGAGAATGCATCAGATTGTGTGAATAAGCTTTGTAAGATGTAAGTGAAATAAAAGTGAAAGTTGCTCAGTTGTGTCCAACTCTTTTTGATCACATGGACTGTAGCCCACCAGGCTCCTCTGTCCATGGAATTCCGCAGGCCAGAATACTAGAGTGGGTAGCTGATTCCTCCTCCAGGGGATCTTCCCAACTCAGGAATTGAACTAGGGTCGCTTGCATTGCAGGTGGATTCTTCACCAGCTGAGCTACCAGGAGGCCCTTGTAAGATGTAAAACACACGCCAAATACAAGGCACAATTATTTGTTATAATAAGCTGGATGGCAAATGGCTTTAGGTAACTAATCAGAAACTCTCTCTCTTAGGTTCTTAAATCTTAGATCAACTCTATAAATGTATTCCAAAGATCACATCCCTGTAAGAAATTCCTTTTAAAATGTTAAAATGTGGGGATGGGGTTTGGAGAAATACTGCAAATCATTACTCCCTTAGTAACATAGTCCATAAACACCTGAACTTCCTAAACTTAGTGAACCATAACATCTTTTTTTTTTCTCCTTGTTTTCATGTATTCTCCACTATCATCCTAAAGAACTAGTGTTGCATAAAGCAACATCCGTCAGAAAACTCTTAGAAAAGGCCTGTCCTGAGGAGGACATGGCAACCCACTTTAGTATTCTTGCCGGGAGAATCCCATGGACAGAGGAGCATGGTGGGCTACAGTCCACAGGCCAGAAGCGACTTAGCGCGCACACACATATGGCTAAAACAAATGTTCATAAACAAACTATCATGCAACTTTTTGGAAAGTATAAATAGAGTATAACGTACGTCCTGAGCTGTTGCAGGTTACCGAGTGGGCTGCAGGTGCTTTCAGCAGCCGGGAATCTCGGCTCACACCGCCCCTCTGACCCCGGCCTGGGTGCCCGGGAGCCGGGGACTGGGCGCTGACACTGTGATTGTGTGCTCCGACAGAGGGCCTGAGCGGATCCTGGAAGGAGGCGGGCGGCGTGCCTTCCAGCACGAGCAGTAGCGGCTACTGGAGCTGGAGCGCCCCCAGCGACCAGTCCAACCCGTCCACGCCGTCGCCGCCGCTGTCCGCCGACAGCTTCAAGCCCTTCCGCAGCCCCGCGCCCCCCGACGACGGCATCGACGAGGCGGAGGCCGGCAACCTGCTCTTTGATGAGCCCATCCCCAGGAAACGAAAGGTTGGTTTCAGGTTTCATTTGGGGGGAATCCGCCTCCTGAGGTGGTGATTTTGGCACTTCTCCATCACATGCCCCTTTTGATCGACAGAAACAGCCCGTGTTCGCCTGTAATGTCCTTTGAAATCTTCAAATAAATTAAGGGTCATGATTAAAGACAAATAGAAATGATTAAAATATTACTATATTTCTTCCAAGTATGCATCCCCACCCCACCCCCAATCTCATCCCGTCCTCTCCCCTGGTTTTAAATTGCTGCACTGGTAACATAAGGTAACCTAGAAAAGAATCTGCCTGCAACACAGGAGACTGAGGTTCGATCCCTGGGTGGGGAAGATCCCCTGGAGCAGGAAATGCAACCCACTCTAGTATTCTTGCCTGGAGAGTCCCAGGGACAGAGGAGCCTGGTGGGCTGTATATAGTCCATGGGGTCGCAGAGTTGGATAGGACTGAGCAACTAACACTTTCACAACACTTCCACCTGGGACTTCACCAGTATTTGGAAGTCAAAAAATTGGACTTCAGGCTTGGTTTGGTAATTAACTCACTCTCTTCGTGGGAATTAACTTTTTCATCTGTAAAATAAAATTATGTTTTACTCTTTTCTACTTCACAGACTTATAAAGGGCTGTGGGAAAGAAGATTTTCTGACTTATGTTTATAAAACTAGATGTGAAATATACATGAAAGCTAACATGTAAACATATGTAGTATTTACATGCCCCAAATTATGTATTTATTAAATTAGAAGTGAAAAAGTAGATCTCGCTGATTTAATAAATTAATTTGACTGCACTTGTATTTAATCCTCACAGCAGTCCTGTATGGCATTGCTTTCCCATCTTAATAGGAAATTGAGGACCAGGGAAGTTATACATTTCACCCCTGTCGTGCAGGTTAGAAGGCTTCCCGGGTGGCACTAGTGGTAAAGAACCCACCTGCCAATGCAAGAGACCTAAGAGAAGTGGGTTCGATCCCTGGGTCCAGAAGATCCCCTGAAGAAGGAAATGGCAATTCACTCCAATATTCTTGCCTGGAAAATGCCATGGACAAAGGAGCCTGGCCAGCTACAGTCCGCAGGGTTGCACAAAGTCAGAAACGACTGAAGCAGCTTAACATGCACACATGCAGTTTAGAAAGGGCCAGCACCACCATTCAAACCCAGGTCTGCCTAAACCGAAAGCTCATATTCTTTTCATTCTCTTCATACACATTTAAGTGACTATGTTCACTCACAATTTTAAAAAGCATTTATGTTTCATAGAATAAAGAAATACTAATCTGCAATATCTAAAAAACACTGTAACATTATTTTTAAATCTCCATGTAAATAGACTTTTTAAATATATTTTAGTTTTTTAGTTTGCAATTGGTAGCTTCATTATTAATGACTATTCACAAACAAAAATCCAAAGAAAACCCTGTGGACTGCAGTGCAACCTATTTTCCCAGTTCATTTCAAAGAGAAAAACAAAGAGATGGCACAGATCCAACACCATCCGTCCCTGCATCTCTCTAGCATCAGGCAGCATGTGTAATGGTGCTGCCGGTATACGCACTCTCTCTGCCCAGAGAACAAACAGGGCATTGATGTCATCTCTGGTCCTTCCCAAAGGCTGGGGCATGAAGAGTTGCTGTTTCACACACCAGTCCATCGGGCAGGGTCCTGGAGCTGTCCAGGCATCCTGTGGGTCCCCAGAGATCCTGGGTCTTGACTACCTGGGGAGAGAGGCTGCACTTGCATCTGTGAGAACCCATAGGCAGGACAGCTGTGTGGACCTGGAGTCTGTCCTGTTGCTTCAGGCTGCACAGACTTTGTCTCTGGGGCCTTCGGAGTGTGTGATCTTGGCTCTCATTAAGTGCAGCCAAGCCTGTGGCAAAGACTCACAGCAGAGGGAGCTCCCCAGTGCTTGTAAGGTGCCCTGCTGGAAGGCTCATCACAGCTTTTCCTTTCCAACATAGCCACGAGCCAAAATTCATACTCTTGCATTGCAGTTTGGTTGCCTTGGTCAAACTTGTATGTAAAGTCTTTAGGCTTCAACTCAATTAGGAGATAGTCAAGTCACCAAATGAAAAAAAAAATCATTACAAACTGGCATTTATTTGAATAGCACAGACCCACTCTTCAGGAGTTTGGGAGCCATGTTTCTCCCTCTTTCTTTGTGACTTCTCCCTCCATTCAGACTCTGGATTTCCCCAGGGTGATAGCAAAAGGATGAAGCTTGTAGTCCCTAATTTTTTTTTGCTTTGGGATCGTAGTTCCTTGACCAGGAATTGAACCTGCACCCCCTACATTGGGAGCACAAAGTCTTAACCACTGGACCCCCAGGGAAGTCCCAAGTAGTCCTTAGTTTTTAATGCATGGATCATACATAGACCAAGTCATTGCCTTTTGAACTTAAAGTTATTTTGAACAGTGTTAATAAAAGAAAGTAGGATCATTGCAATTCATGATTCATTTTTTTTAGTGTATCAAGTGAACCAACATTTATTGAGCACCCAACAGGCACAATGCTCAATACCCTGAGATTAAAGTGCAGCCCCTTCCTTCAAGGTCGAAAGTTAGGCAGGTGGACACTGATGTATAAAAAGACAATAATAATTATGAGTGATAGATGCTGTGCTCACAATATGGTTCCCAGGTGGTGCTAGTTGTAAGAAGCTGCCTGCCAGTGCAGGAGACATAAGAGTTGTGGGTTTGATCTCTGGGTCCGGAAGATCCCAGGAGGAGGAAATGGCAACCCACTCCAGTAACCTTGCTTGGAGAATCCCATGGACAGAGGAGCCTGGCAGACCACAGTCCACGGGGTCTCAAAGAGTTGGGCATAACTGAAGTGACTTGCCAGGCACATAATGTGGTGGAATCACAGTAGCTGTAGTGCTGCTATTTTGGTTTTTTAAATCATCTCTCAAACGATTTCCAAGAGTTAACTGTCTAATCCATAGACAATATGTTCTAGTTGGGGGACACTTTCTGATTCATTTTATTTTCCTCTTCATTCCCTGAGGTTTATAATATCCATTTGAGACCGTGGACTTGTATTGGGCATATGTCCTGTGGGGATTGTTTGAGAACCTTCTAGATCAATATTTTCCAAACTGCATGTCTCAGTCCACTGGTGGGTTGTGAATCTTTTGAATGACTGTGAACAGCACATCTTTAAGGAACAGGACAGAATAGGGTGCAGTGGGCATAATCAGGATGAGTACTGTTCCTTGATGCTTTGGTTTCAGTTGTCACCTATGTGTCTACTTTACAAACAGTGTCTCTTACTGTGACTGATGGTCAAAAACGTTTGGAAGCCCCTATTCGTTAGTATAGAGAACATGATTAGTGGTAAGTGAAGGTGTCCTGATTAGAAATCTAAAAATCCACATTCTAGACTCAACTTTGCTACCCTGAGAACTTCAGGAAAACACTTCATCTGTCTGATCATCAACTTTTTCGTCTGTTAAACAGGCAAACAGATATTATCAAACCTCTCTCAGGACGATCATGAAGACTAAGTGTGACCAACCATAAGTATAGGAAGGGCTTATAAGCTCTAAAACTGCAATGTAGCAAATTTGTAATAGACCTATTTTAAGACCCTGAAACAAAGTGGAAAGAGGCATACCCTATACTAATTATGAAGCAAAGACCCTGGTCTTCCTCCTCATGAAAACTTATTTGGAAGTTATCTTAACACTTTTCCTCACTCTCGCCTCTTATATGATCCCTATCCCACTTATGTAAAGAGGAAGAGAGATTTATTGCCTAAATAAGGCATTTTTGCTGCCTACTTTCAGTGGTGAGCAAGAAACAATTGCTGATATTATCAAATTTATATATACATATAAAAATAACTATATTTGTATATTTTATTATAGTTTACAAAATACTTTTAAGTGCAGCATGTCATTTAATCATCATGAACATCTTTGGCCTAGTCATATCCCCATTGTGCAGAAGAGGCTCACTGAGGTTATGTGAATTATCCAAAATCCTGTAGCTTATAATCTTAGAAATAAGATCAGCTTAGCTGAAATAGCAAAGATGAAACTCTTGAGGCAATTTCAAAGAATCCACATTTCCCTCTGCACCCAGAAGAAAATAACATGGAAAGAAAACAGTCAGACCCAGTTACAGCCAGCACAACATGGCAGGGTGGGAGTGGGGTGCAGAGGGTTAAAAGAACAGAGGGTTAAAAGACGGAGAGGAACTCCAGGCTGTCTGCTGAGGCATGGGTCCCCAACCTCCAAGATGTAATGCCTGATGATCTGAGGTAGTGCTGATGTAATAATAATAGAAATAAAGTACACAATAAATGTAACATGCTTGAATCACCCTGAAACCATCCCCCGCTCCGCAAAGCCGGTGCCTCATGCCAAAAAGATGGTGGACCACTGTGCTGGGGGAGGTGGGGGCGGACAGCTTCCTGCGGGAAGGGCACATGGCTCTTTAGCCAAGGTAGGTGGGAAGGCGAGGAGGGGAAATGAAAGGCTTCTTTCTCCTGGCTCTGGAAATCAGCCAGCCAACTGCCTCAAGCCCCGTTCTAGCAGAATTTTTCCTCTGGAACTTCAGACTGAGTGTACTCAGACGTTGAGAAAAGCCTAGTAGTATGAGCTGGGACTCGGGGACTACCGGGAAGGTGCAGTTCCTATCCTGACCACAAGGTGATGCAATGGCCCTAAAGACAGCCGCTCCGGGCGTCTGGGAGAGAACAGTTCTATGGAAGGCCAAGAGTTAACGTTCAATTCCTGAAGGCCTCTAGAAAATCAAGAAGGGCTCATAACTAATTAATACTGTGCTTTTTTCCACGTCAGATTCCTAGTTCAGTCAGATTTGGGATTTGTCCTTTCCTAAACAGGATAAAACCGTTCGGGCTCTGGAATTAGCACCCCGGCTACAGTACTCATGAAAGTGTGAAAGTCCTAGTCGCTCAGTGACGTCCGAGTCTTTGCAACCCCATGGATGCACAGGGCTTCAGGCTCCTGTGTCCATGGAATTCTCCAGACAAGAA